GCGGGATTGGGCATTGTTTCGTTCTGCTGTGCATGGGGTTGCTATGAGTTGGAAATTACTCTATGGCAACAACAACAACAACATTTCTACATATGTATTTACACATATGCTGCAAATATATCCATGAATATAGTAGAGTGTACAGGAGCAAAATTATAAAAATTTCTTAGCCAAAACCAAAAACCTTAGGAGAGTGACTCATTAGGTCTAGGAACTCAGGACCATAGTCTTGGAGAACATCAACATTAATTGGCACAAGATAGTCCACAAAGACAATGTTCAATGTCCTACTTTGATGAGCAGTGATAGGGGTCTTAAAAACTTGAGAGTGGCCATCTAAGGTGGAACTGTTGGCCTCTCCCCATCTAGAGCAAAGAAGAGTGAAGAAAATCAGAGACACATGGAATAATTAGTCCAAAGGATTAATGGACCATGTGAATGTCAGCCTGCAAGATCCTGAGAGCAGAAGAACTAGATAGTGCCTGGTTACCACTTCCAACTGCTCTGAAAGGGATAACATTAGAAGGTCCTGGATTTAGTGGGATGAAAGTGTGTAACAAAACTTAAAATTATTCCAAAAAAAAAGAGACCAGACTTACTGGTCAGAGAGACTGGTGAAACCTCCAAGATCATGGTCCTGGTCATCCTTTGGACCTGGAACTGAACTCATTCCTGTAATTGAATTTTCAGTCAAACAAGAGACAGGACAATAACTCTAGCAAGGCAGACATTCCTTAGAACAATCAGCCATTTGAGATCAAAAGGGCATCATTTGCACAATACCAAAGTTTAGATGGCAGGAAGGGTTAGGAGAAAAGAAGGAATGGAAAGGAGAAACATAGGAAGGAAACAGGAAGAGTGATATTACATTTAGGGGATTGCAATCAATGATGTGAAACAAAATGTGTTATGAACTGTTGAATGGAAAACTGATTTATTGTGCAATCTTTTACACAAACCACCATAAAATGTTAAACAACCCCTCCCCACTTCCAGGTGCCAAAATAATTATCAGAAATCCACATCTTTATTCAGGAATAATTAATGTGATGGTTAAATGATAGGCTGAACATACTTAATGTCACGAACTGTACATGTGAAGATTGTTGAAATGGCAAATGTTTTGTTTCTAGTATTTATCACAATAGTAATAATAAAAATCCTATGAATTATAAAAAGAAAAAGATAAAAGGTGTTTGCAGGCCACATCCCAAGGAAACTCCCCTTACCTTTGATCAGGGCTGTGACCAGATTGAGGGTATTTCATCTCACCCTAATCCGTTTTCAACTGATTGACTTATCACATCAGATCACATCATGGTGGACCATTACATAACTGCCTAACCACTGAGAATCATGGCCCAACCAATTTGACACTTATTTTGGGGGGACACAATTCAATCCATGACAATACCTGTCACACAACTTTTCCCAATTCAACTTTTTACAGGTGTACAACTTATTGACCACAATTACATGAATCAGATGCGCAACCTTCCCCTTAATCAATGCAATTTTTCCATCCCCAAAAGCCAAAACTCAGTGCCGTATAACTGCCCCATTTCCCCCATCTTTCCTAAGAAACTTTGATCTCTGTATGTTCTGGTTACTTAGTTCCACTCTGACAGGAATATATCACAAATAAGATGTCCTTAACAAACAGGAGTTTATTCTCTCACAGTTTGGAGGCTTTAAGTCCAAGTTCAAAGTGCCAGGCTATAGGGACTGAGTGAAAGCCCCTCAACCTTGGGGTCCAGCTCTGCCTCCTGCTCCCAGCCCATTGGAGCTAGAGGCATTTCTTCACTCAGACAGCTACTGGCTGCTGAGGCTGACAAACCCAAGGTTGACAAGTAAAAAGGCACAGTCCCAATGCTACCAAACCACACAGTAGGTTAATTTAAGTCCATTTTAAGTCCCAAAGTCAGCAGAGCATGGCAGGCTGCTGAACAACACGGCTACATGCAGGATCCAAGCGTGCCATAAGCTAGAGACCATTCCTAAGGCTTCTCGTTATATAGCGGAAGCAGACCACATTTCAAAGGCAGCTACTCAGCTGCTTGTGGTAGATCCCACCATGGAGTTGATTGCCAGTCTCATCATGGGGAATAACTACCACCAGCTACCCAGCCACTCAACCAGGCCCAGCCAAGTTGACACAAAAATATAACCACTACACTATGTATTTGCCTGTTCTTGTCTTTTTATATAAATGATGTCATACAGTATTTGTCCTTTTGTGATTGAATTATTTCACTCAGGATAATGTCTCCAAGCTTGCAAAAAGGACATGAAAGTGGCATCTTCTGACCTCCTCTAACTTCACAAGATGCAGACAGAATCACCATCAGCAGCCCAAGGCTTATTCCTATGAGGCCAGACATACCACCACCCTTCAGTCCTTTTACCAACTTTGACACCAGCCAAAGCTCCCATGGTATTCACTACTTCTCCGCTGAGTTCAATAATTCATCGTGATGGCCACACAGAACTCACAGACAATACTCATGATTATGGTGTTTATTAGAGTAGTAACAGGCTACAACTCAGGTTCAGGAATATGCTCAGGACACAACTCTTTGATCAGGACAGTCTCCACTCTGCTGTGCCCTCAGACACTCCTCTCTGGCCCTGTCCTCTCGTTCTGGCCTCTGTCTCCATAGGCCAGGTAAGCCTGTCACTCTGTCTAGTGCCTCTTAGTTCTACTGCCACTGTCTCTTTGTTGGGGTGTCTCTCCACTGGGGTGTCTCTTCGCAAGGGCATCTCTTCGCCAAGGAGGTCCAGCACAGGGATCTTGGGTCCAAGGACGCCCTCCACTTTACCTTTAGCTCTTCTCTCTTGTTGGCAGTGAGATCTCCTCTCTGCCTCTAGGAGGGCTCATTTTAAGCCTGGCAGAGTGACAAAACTAAGTAATCCCAACATCAGAGTTGTACACACTTTATTTGCATGGTCTCACCCAGTAACCTGGTGGGAATTACCAAGACTAGGCTACAAAAGCCATACCAAGTAATTCACTGTACCGCAAAGCTCCATTCATATTGTAGCATGTAATGAGACTTCATTTCTCTTATTGAGTAACTTATATTCCAGTGGATGTATATACCACATTTTATTTATTCAATCATCCATTGATGGCCATTTAGATTGTTTCTACTTTTTGGCTATTGTGAATAAGGTTGCAATAAACATTGGTGTACAATGTCTGTTTGTGTCACTGTTTTCAAGTCCCTTGGCTATTTTCCTAGCAGTGAATTGCTGGGTCCTATGGAAGGTTGGGCAATCCTACTTTCATAGTGATACTGCCTCGGAAACCCAAGGAGGGTTCGCTATGAGTCGCGGCCGACTCCACGGCAAAACAACAACAACAACAAGCATCCTGTCAATGGTGCAAAAACTGTGAGACCTGGAAAAACAAGGCAGTCCTCTCAAGTTTTGGCTTTCACAAGTTTCACTATAGTATGTTTTGAAATCAGGAAGTATAAGTCTTCCCAAATTATTCTTCAAGATTGCTTTAGCTATTGGGGGTCCCTTGCCTTTCATTTAAACTTAAGAACTGGCTTTTACAATTGTGCAAAGAAGGCTGTTGAAATGGTAAGATTGCATTGAATTTATAGATTGTTTTGGGTAGTATTGGCATCTTAACTATAATTAAACCTTCCAATCCATGACCATAGAATGTCATTTTATTTATTTAGGTCTTCTTTACTTTTAGTAATGTTTTATAATATTCTGTGTATAAGTCTTTCATCTTCTGGGTTAAATTTATTCCTAGGCATTTTATTCTTTTTTAGTGCTATTGGAAATGGGAATGTTCCCTTAATGCCTCTTCAACTTGCTCATTGCTGATGTATAGAAACCCAACTGATTTTCATGTATGGATTCTGTGTCCTCTTCTGAGGACACTCGTCATCGAATTTAGGGCCCACCTAAGGAGCTCTGGTGGTGAAGTGGGTAAGGCATTTGGCTGCTAACCAGAAGGTGAGCCAAACAAACCAGCTGCTTGGCGGGAGGAAGATGACGCAATCTCCTTTAGTAAAGATTTACAGTCTTGGAAACCCTATGGGGGTCCTTATGAGTTGGAATCAACTCAGTGGCAGTGGGTCCTATAGGGTCGCTGTAAGTCGGAAAAGACCCCATGGCAACGGTTTCGGCTATCTCTCACTACTGAGACTGGGCAAGCTTTGTTGATCCTGAAGAGTGAGCGGCACATAGTAGGATTACTTGGTTGACTGATCAGTGCTCTCGGAGAAGGACACTACTGGAAGGGCAAGTTTTTCTTACCCTCTCTCCTAGTATCCACCATTCTGCGGAGACAGCAGGTAGCTGAGGAAAGAATTTGTGGGTCCAACATGGCGCTGTCCTGCTCCTTGTACGGATCTCAAAGATGGCGATAACCTACGGGGGCAGACATATTCGAACTAAGTGATCCAGGCCCAGGCCAGAGGGGGCCGGAACGTGACGAAAAGTTGAGGCGGGGTCCCTCCTCCGCATCCCTCGGCGTCGGTCGTCTCGTGACAGATACTTCCGCTCGGGGCGGCGGCGGTGGCGGAAGTGGGAGCGGGGCTGGAGTCTTGGCCATAAAGCCGGAGGCGGCGGCGGCGGCGGTGTTGGAAGCTTGAAAAGCGCGGAAGCCGCTGGAACCAGAACTTGGACTTCTTCTCTGCCCCCGTCTTTCTTTGCTTCTCCTCCTCCGCGGGAGCTCTCGCGACGCGCCCGGCCTTGAGCCCCCAGCGGAGCGGCCGCGGTAAGCAGAGGGCCCAGCTTGGCTGGTAGCCTGTTCCCATCCCCCTCCTCTGCCCCACGGTACCCGGAGCCTCGCGTTGTTCCTGACCTAGCCCAGCCCTTGCGGTGAAACTCTTAATCGCTCAGCCGCAGGAGCAGGCCTGGATCGCGCCCGGCCGGGAAGAGGTCAGAGGTTGCCGGGTGTGACCTCTGGCCGAGTTGCCGGCGCGGAGACTACCGTCACCTACTCTTTGTTTACTGATGGTGTCAAGACCAGAGACCCGTTGGGCATTGCGGGGTAGAGGGCTCTGCGCTCGCGGCGGGATGCGCTAGCGGGTTGACTTCCTTGGAGCGTCGAGCCGAAAGGTGTAGGAGCCCATCTCTCTAGCAGCGGGGTGGAGGGCACTCTGGCCCAAGCGTCGCCGACTGCGCGGGCATTGCTAACGAGAAGCCTAGTGCTGAGCCACTTTCGCATCTGTATCTTTAGTTGAACAGCTTGATCTTGTAGTGGGGGAGGTTCTCCGACGGCAGTTGAGTTAAGGCAGTGAGTCAGGTCACGTGCACTGGGATCGCCTCAAAGACTTTGTATACATGTGAGACGCCTTTGGCGCTGGGAGTTTTTTATCATAGCTATGTCATGGTAACTCCTGAAAGTTTTCAAACTTAATGGTGAAAAGATGAATTCAGAATTGATACATAAAAATAAGGTTCATTTGAGCGCTTACTGTATGCTTTTTGGGCACCGTGTCTAGACTTTTACATAGATTATTATATTTAATTTTCAGAACCCTCTGACGTACCATTATTATGTCTACTCGTGGATAGGGAAGTTGAAGAAGAGAGAGGTTAAGTCGTTTGTCCAAAGTTACACAGATAATGAGGTATGGAGCTGAGATTCAAACCCAGGCAGTCAGACTCTGGAGCGCTGCGCTTGACTTAGATTGTACTGCTTTCAGGCGCTCCTGAAGTTTGTGATTTCTCTCTTGCTACCTGGTATCTGCCTTTCGCTGCCTCCTTTCTTTCTAGTGATGACATTGTAAAGCTTCATGAAGTGACATTTTTTGGTACAATAAAACCAAAAGTCATTCCGTTTGCAGTTTTACTTTTAATGCATATTATAGTGTAATTTCAGTATATTAGGAGCTCTTGAATTCTGACAATTCTGAGCTTTGAAAAATTTGTTACCTAAATCTTTTGTCAATTGATTTAGGCCTTGTAAGCCTGCCATGTGAACCTTTCTAAGAAACTTTATCAGAGATGTGGGTGTATATATAGCCGGTTGGTTCTTCCCTGTTGAAAATACTTTTTGGATTCTGAAAGAACAGGCTCTTGTCTTTTCCTTGTGACTTAAGCAGCTGATTAGCCACATGACTTCTCACCCATGGATTTAATAAAGTCTCCTGTTAGTCTGTTTCCCTCTTCAAACTTTGGAGAGTTTGTTCAGGTTCGAGAGAGAACTGAAGAGTGAGTTGTGAGTATTTCTTCTCTGGAGGATATTTTCTAAGCTAAAGCTTAGTGCCCAAAACCCCATTGTGTTCTAGTTTTTGTTTTACCTTGCTAACTCAGTCTGATATATTTGAGTAATAAGTACTGTAGTCTTTAATAATATTTGGATTGAGAGGAGAGTAATGATGGACAACTTTTCATTCTTTGATCAAATATCTTGAGAATCTACCATGCTTCAGACATCATTCCTATTCTTAAGGAATTTTAAAATGGTGAGTGGTCATTGGCTAGGAATTCCATGTGAGTTGTTGAAGTGCTGTTTGAGCGAAGGCACGTTTAGCATGCTGGATTTTTTTCTTCAGCGGACACAAAGTTTAATGTAACTCCTGCCAAGTCACAGTACCAATAACATCCTAGATAAAATATTGCACCATTCCATTTCCAATAAGTTTCCCTTTCTATAAAAAGATGTTTGGGTTTTGCATTTATGGTACAATTGCATGAATAAACAAAGGGAAAGGTGAAATGTAGGCTTTTAATAAGTCTTCAAAGAAATCTGTACTAATAACGCATTCGGCATTAGCCTTTCCATACGAAGGTAATGTCAAACTCAGATCTCACATGTGTGAGTCTTACCTATCTACTTTTCCTCTCTGGGATTTGACATAAATATTTTACCATTATTTCTATGACAAATTGCCCAGCTCTCTATCCATATATTTAAACAAATTTGACTGAAAGAGACTTGGCCAGATGTTGGGCTGGATGCTGTAGGCAGGGTTTTCTGGAGTGGACACAAGGCTAAACAGTGGTTCCCTTTGGCACTGTTGTCATTCTCTAAAGGGGACTGAAGCTCTAGAAATGAAGTATCCGCCTCCATCCCCGAGGCGCCCCCCCTCCCCCATTATGCAGTTACTGACTTGCCTCGGAAACCCAAGGAGGGGTCGCTGTGAGTCGGGGCCGACTCGACGGCACATAACAACAACAACAACAACTTACGCCTATAAAAGGTTGCCATTCTATTCTCAGGGATCGATTTTTATGTGTTATCAAACACTTATCCATTATTGCCATCTACGTCTGGTAGCATAGTGCCTAAGGCGTTTGACTGCTAACCAGAAGGCTGGCAGTTCAAACCCACCAGCCAGCCACTCCTCGGAAGGAGGGTTGGGCAATCTACTTGTGTAGTGATACTGCCTTGGAAGCCCAAGGAGGGGTTGCTGTGAGAAGGATCTGACTTGACACCTGTGAGTTTGGTTTGTTTTTTAGGGAGCTCTGGTGGCATAATGCCTAAGGCACGTGACTCCTAACCAGAAAACTGGCAGTTCAAATCCACCAGCCACTCCTTGGAAGGATGGGCAGTCTACTTCCGTAGTGATACTGCCTCAGAAACCCAAGGAGGGGTTGCTATGAGTCAGATCCGACTCGTGGGCAATGAGTTTGGTTTTTGGTTTTTATTAGATCACTATACTTATTTGACTGCAGTTTGCATTGTGTTGATTTCTTCAGTTATTTGCTCTCATCTTCCCTCTATGCTTTGCTTTTTCCTTCCCACATAGCATTAAAGGGTGAAAAATATTTTGCATCTTTGTTTTAAAACTTCTTGATGGTGGTATGGTCAGTGTAATTAGTGAATCAAAGGTAAATGTGACATTTGGTGGGTGAAATTAGATCAGGCTTTTTAGCAGTGTCACTGACTAGTTTCAATTTTAGTACTATAAGGTTGTGATTTCAAAAACAAATTTAAGAATAGCTACTTGCAGAATGTCTCTGTAGGGAAGGAAGAAAGCTTGGGAGTTAGTTCCAGTGGTGACATACAGTATTGGCCTTGTTCATTTGCCTGGAGGTGCAGTACTTAATGCAGGGGCTCCAAGAGCCTCTCCTGGAGCTCTCTATTTTAGTGATGTCATCACTGCTATGGAGATCGGTCTGCCTGATTGTCTTGTCCATTTATACCATGGAACAGAGCAAATCTGAGGAAGTACATTAGGGCAGTGTTGGGAATTCTGCAGCCCTGACTAGTTCTTAAATGGTCTTACTAGTGTGACTGCTGCCAGATACCGTGAAGGAGGTTGTCTCCTGTCCTGCTCTATTTCAGGCAATGATGGCTTGCTTGTTTCTTAAAATATGGACTTCCTTGGAGTTACCCAGCTCAGTTTGAGCCCTTCAAAAGTTACCTTGTGAAGTAAATAGTTTACACTGTTGGTTTCTAGTCTTTGTGTATAAGTGTAATAATAATAATAATAATAATAATGATTCCGCAGTGCTCTGGTGGCACTGTGGATAAAGCGTTGGGCTGTTAACCAAAAGGTGGACAGTTTGAAGCCACCAGCTGCTCTGCAGGAGAAAGACTTCCAGCCTTGGTAACTCTGTGGGGCAGTTCTGTTCTGTTCTGTAGGGCCACTATGAGTCAGAATCCACTTGGTGGCATGGGATTTGGTTTTGGATTTAATAACAAAGATAATATGGATTAATCTTTTGAAAAAACTTAACAACTTAGACTTAATATGAAAAACAGTTTCTTACATATGATATTTAATCAGTCTACCAACAAGATCTGGGGACCCCTTGAAATAACTCTGGATCATCTGGGCAGCCCACAGGTTGAGAGCCACTCTGAAATTCTTTCACTTTAAAAAAAAAATTTTATGTAATGTTTACAGTTAATGTATAATTTTATTTGGAGCTCACCACAACTCTGTAGGCTTAAGGGGTAAACATTTCTATATTTCTGTCTTGAGATATCTGAGGCTGGATGCTTAGGTGGCCCAGCAAGAATACTATCAGGTCTGCTGCAGCCCATGTCAGTGTTCTGTTCTAGCTTGCATTTTATGTTATAAATGATTGCTCTAGAATCCTCAGCATTTGACCTTTTATAAAAATGTATCTTTTTTTCTATTACCTTTTCTTTAAAATGACATTTCTCTCTTGCTTATAAAACTAGTCATTTCTTTAAAAAAAAAAAGGCTAGGAAAAGTATAAAGAAGAAAAAATTGTTACTCACACTACTCTGAGGAGGATCAAGGTGTTAACTGATGGTTTTCTTCTAATGACTATTTAATACCTTCCTTTAATGGAATTTGAACAACAACAAAAATAGGGTGAGAATTTAATTGTGAAGGGGACTGTACACGGGTCCTTTGCCCTTTGGGGCCTTGCCTAACGAACACTCAATCATGGGAAGGTGGAGATCATTTCCAGATCACAGGACTAGCCATATTTTTCAAGTGTTTAATGGCAACAGGTGAAGAATCTGATATGTCCACCTCTCACATAAGGTTTGTTTGCCATAGTGACACTGGATAAGTGAAGTGTTGCCCTTACTTTTAAAGTCATTTGTCATTTCTTCTAGTTTAGTAAACTTTTAACTGAAGTAGAAAATACACACAGAAAAGTACACAAGTAAAAGAACACCTTGGGAATTTTCACAAACTCAAAAGCCCTCTTGTGTCTCTTTTAAGTATCCCAACAGTAATTAGTTTGTTGATTTCTCACACTATAGATTAATTTTGCTTGATTTGGACTTTATGTAATGGAATCATACACTGTGTACTCTTTTGTATCAAGTTTCTTTGA